CCCCCCCACCCCCCCCCCCCCCCCCCTCTCTGTCTATTCAACCAACGGAATAGCGCGCATTCGGAAAAATAAGAAAAAAAAACACAATTTGTGCACGATTGCAGAAAAAAAGATTCATTACTTATTGTCATTGAAATTTTGATTCCAGCTGACTAAACAGGTACACTAATTGATGAGTAATCTTATAGCATATTTATACAAAATATCATTATGCAATTGAATGAAAAGACCCCTTTTTTAATTGGTATTCACGTTTATTATAACAAGTTAATGTACTTAATTGTGAAAAAAAGAAAGACTATATTGAGATATGTAGAAGAAAAAAAAAAGAACAACGAAAGAACAACGAAAGAACATTATTATAAATTAATTTAGGTGTATAAAAGATCAAACAGTTGAAATGGTATATATTGTCTGACATGAACTAAATGGAAACAAAAACATCATGAAAATGGTATCGAACTAATGCTACTTTAACTTACTCAACAGTTGAGTTAATACTTGTGCTCATAGTTGTAGATCACTCATTTATACACTCAATAAAATTTAATATTGCCTGATGTAGAACTAACTTGAGAAAAAAAAACAATGATTACTCTTTAATAGATGATTCTTACTTTCTCGCTAATAAAAGCGCTCACGATATTCATCAATAGATTTTATTTTGGACTATGACGGCTAAAAAGAAAAAATGGATCACATTAAGAAACATTAAATTGAAAGAAATAATATTTCTTTACCTTGAAATTCCATCCTTTATTCGGTGTGGGTTTGGTTGTTCTTCCTTTCATCCCGCACAGCCACCCACACCCACCCTTGACATTCGAATCTATTCGACAAAGCAATTCCTACAAAAAAAAAATTATGCCGGCTACATAAGAAAAACAGCTTATCTTTTTTTTTGTACTTTTGTTGAATTTATCGTATGTGTATTAAGATTATTACGAATAATTACTCTCCCATTATTCTATATTCAACACTACATTACATAGTACAAGCAAGATGAAAGAAGAAGCAGGATAAAAGATATAAGATAGTTGATAAACGAGAAACTAAACAATCATAAGTCAGTCATAACATAAACAAATAGTTCGATAAAAAGATGACAAGCAAGTAATGATGACTCACCGAGAAGAGAACGCGGGTGTTACAGTATGATTCATCAAGGTAGTATGACGAGATACCTGAAGCGAATGATGCAGTTACAGTATGATTACCTTTCATGTATATAAACAAGAGGTGTCTTTATTTTGCAACATTATACAAAAATGATATAATCATCGAATGAAAAGAACATCACTCAAAAGAGTATTTTAATGAGTCGATTTTAGGAACAAGACTTTTTTTCTTTTTCTGTGTCAATAGTGTAAGAAGGAAGTGACTCTTTTTTCGTCAATGTCGTCAAATAGCACAGTTGATGATTGCTCAATTTGTTTGAATGGTTTAGTACCAGGTGCACCTCTTTTAACATTGTCATGTAATCACAAGTTTCATTTTGACTGTTTGCTATCGCATGTTAAAGCACAAAACCACGAGTGTCCCCTGTGTCGAGCAACCATCGATATATCACTCATTAAACTATTAAAAGGTGCTAATAAGATGCCTTCACCACATCAAGCGCCAAGACCTGCTATTGTAAGTCATATCTTGTGTATAAAGAGTCTCTTATTAAAAAAAATTGATCTAGCCAAGAGATGAGATGAACGATCTAACAAAAACTGTAAACTTTTCTTTTAGGTTGTTCCTTCGGTAGAAGATCTAGTCGATGAAGAGGCTGTACGAACACTTTCTACGCGTCTGACGTCGGCTCAACAAGCTACCGCTTCGTCAAGTTCTACAGGCACATTATCAAGTATTACGACTACAACAACATTAGAATTTGCCGGTCAGCCATCAGATCAAGAAGCGAATATCTATGGATTAGTCACTGTGAAAGCACCTTCGATCATTTTACCATCGGAGAGTGAAGCCACTTCATCATCATTCTCTCGTGTGCCTATTGATCTCGTTTGTGTTGTTGATCAAAGTGGATCGATGAAAGGCGAAAAAATCACTTTATTGAAACAAACTTTAAACTACATTGTCGATCAGCTCAACGAACTCGATCGATTGGCTATTGTTTCATTTAATACAACAGCTTTCAATTATTCTCACGGTCTCACACATCTCAATCAACAAAAGTAAGTTCATCGATTCGACATTTGATGATTTTTTAATTTAAAGAGTAGCTAACTATCAGCTTTAGAAGACAAGGTCGAACTTTCCAAGAAAAAGAATTGTCTGTCAATCTATATAGTTTAAAAGTTATATAAAGTAACACGTAATTGTTTTTATTTAGGAAGGAGATGCTGAAAAAGTCGATCACTGAAAATGTCAAGGCTAGTGGTGGTACCTTTATTGGATGTGGATTAAGTATGGGTATTGAACTGTTCACTAATCGTCAAACAAAGAATCCAGTTGGTGGTTTACTTTTACTTACCGATGGGCAGGACAATCAAGTTCAGGATTATTCGAATTTAATGAAGACATTACCTGAAAGTGTTCTTTGTCACACATTTGGTTATGGGCCTGATCATACAGCGGCTTTACTTGTACAACTGGCGGAAGAAGGAAACGGAGGCACTTTTACTTATATAGTGAGTTGAACACAATTTCTTTCAGATTTAAATGATAAAGTATTGAATAGAATGAAGAAGAAGCTGTAGGTCCAGCATTTGCGATGACGCTTGGTAGTCTTTTTTCGTGTATAGCTCAACAAATTTGTATCAACATCGAATTCAACGGTGAATACAAAATAACTAATATTCATTCGAAATATAAATACGAACCAGAAAAACTTCCTTCATCGATGATCAGTTTTAAACTAAATGATCTCAATAGTGAAGAACGACGAAATCTCATTTTTCAATTATATGTGCCGAAAATGCATGATCAACAATCGATAGAAATGGTCTCACAAAAATCTATAACTTCAAGTCAACAACAAGAAGAACTTCAGTTCATCATTAATCATCAAATTGGTGAGTAATTTATTTTAAACTCATAGATATCTTCTTCAGTCTAAATCTAAAAATGATTTAAGGTCATGTGTCGATCACCTATTTGGATCCTCGCAGTGGTCTTACATTAACCACAAATTCTGTTCCCTTTGAACTTATTCGAGTTCCTCAACCATCGACCGAACTGCTTCAAGTCAATTACACACTTGATCTTCAACGAAATCGAGTAGAAACAGCACTTGTCTTAAAACAAGCAATGGAAGAAAATAACTATGAACAATCGATGAATTTGCTCAAAGATCAAATTGAAAAATTAAAGAAAAGTGTATCTGCAAAAGATCCATTTTGTCAACAATTAATCCAAGATCTTAAACATCCTTTTCGATCGGAACGTGACTATCGTTCAACACATCACAATACTTATATGCAACATTTAACAGAACGAGGCACATGGAGTTCTACGGCTAATGCCAGTACAATACATTATAGTACCATATCGCAAAATTCTCAAGTCGATCACTTTCGAAATTCACGACCTCTTAACTTACAAGAAAAGGTTAGTGAAAAGGAATAAAAGTAGCTCATGAATCAGGACGGTGATATAAACGGCAGGAGAAAAGCTGACTCGCTTGACCATGACCGTGGTGGAACTTGCGAAATTTTGCGTTTTTCGACAATTTAGTTATGTTTTCTAGAGTATAGATTTTACTAGACCATACGATTACGAGAGAAACTCCGCGTTGAATTTTCTCCTTGAAAACTGTTGTTTGAAGATTTTTTTTAAAACAAATGCATGGAAAATTTGAGCAAGAGAAACCTTGATTTTAAGGCTTGAGGATGATCACATTATTATTTATCTACACTCTCAAGATTTTGTTGTTCTTCATTTAGGATGGCAATTCGTTGGATTTAATTTTGTGTAAAGTGATGCGTATCCCTGAATATATTCTCGGAAAAATTACAGTAGCTGTAAGTTGATTATATATCGAAAATTATTAATTATTGATCATTCTTGTGCGTTTTTATCAGGTTCTTCATGATCTGAGCTCTTTGACCAAGGAATATCGAGGTATTCATTCACTTGTTTTCTTTCGATTAATTTGAATTTATTTCCATTTGTAATATCATTTAGAAATTCAACCATCGAATATTCTGATTAATCATCTAGGTAATACGTCGTAAATGGTTTTCTTTTTCATGATTGATTTTCTTTTCTAGGTGAAATCAAACTACGCGATTTTGATGTAAGTGGACAATTCATGGATTCACATATCGGTAACCGTTGTTACATGTCGGTTAGTATTTTTTATTCTATTGTTTTTGTATTAATCGATTGATTTATAGCCTGAACGGCTCGAAGGTGCACCTAAAGGAATAATGAATGATATTTGGACACTTGGTTTGTCACTTGTCGAAATGGCTGTTGGTCGATATCCAATTCCACCACCAACATCAGAAGATATTGATATATTATTCAAAGAAGATTCACATGGAAATCTGCCGCGAGTCGAAGGTTAATTAATTGACTGTTTGTGTTATTGTTGTGAAGAGGGTGTTGTTATTTCAGGATATGGATCTTATAAAGATTTGAGTATATTCGAAGTGATGGAATGGATTGTTAATGAAGCATCACCCAGCCTCCCACAAACACATTTTTCTCCGGAATTTTGCGATTTTATTGATCGTTGGTTCGTATATTCTGTTGGATGTATTTTAATGATTTCATTGTTTTTTCGTTGATTTTAGCTTGAAAAAGAATACAACAGAACGAGCTGATTTAAATACGCTCTTAGTGAGTGTTTTGTCTTTTTCTTGCACAATATCTCTTCTTGTTATTTCAGCATCATCCATTTTATAAACAACATGAACAAGAGAGTCAAAATCAAGAAGTCGTTGCTTGGATAGGGCAAATATGTCAACGTGATTTGGACAATAGACGACGCAGTGATGGTGGTAGTAGTAGCACATAAGTTAAACTGAAGAGCGAGTCAGATGTGTGATCTTTCGTTCATTTTCTATGTTTCTCGAATGAGAAAACAAACAAAAATATAAACGTCAGGTGTGGGTGAGGGTGTGAGTATATTAGTTCTCGGATCCGCATCCCACACCTGTATCTTCACTTACATCTTACCTTCAAAATGGTTGAAGCGATTACATTTATACAGATTGTTGTCATGACAACATAGTCTATTCAAACAAGAATAAATTTTTAATTACGCTCAAAATTATAGAAGCTCATACAGAACAGGAACGCAGTCTCAAGATTATCGCTTTCCAAACACATTAGAAGTCGGGTGTGGGTGTGGGTGAGGGTGTGGGTGTGGGTGGGTGTGGAGATTGGGTGTGGTGGGTGTGGGTGTAAGTGTAGAGAAGATTTATACACACACTCACACCCTTTTACCAATGAACTGACTATAACTCGTGAATATGACTTAGATTTGGGAAGATATTTTAACCATAATATACTCTAGCCAAGACTGGCATTCTCTGGAATTCTGGTTGAAATAAGACGAAAAATAACAAAGTTGGTTTCTGAGGGGCCCCTAAATAAAAACAAACTGAGCAAACAACGACAAAAAATTTACCATCATCGGTAATAAACAGAACAAAAAAAAACGAGGAAGAAAAGCTTACTATTGCAGCTGCTTTGTGAATGAAATGTGGAGCTTACATATTCCATATGAGCTAGCAGATAATCTAGTGCAAATTGTTTTTTTTTGTGTAATGAAGTATACTTTTAAGTTTGGAACAAGTGAAGTGAAAGATTGAGATATTGTGCAAGAAAAAGACAAAACACTCACTAAGAGCGTATTTAAATCAGCTCGTTCTGTTGTATTCTTTTTCAAGCTAAAATCAACGAAAAAACAATGAAATCATTAAAATACATCCAACAGAATATACGAACCAACGATCAATAAAATCGCAAAATTCCGGAGAAAAATGTGTTTGTGGGAGGCTGGGTGATGCTTCATTAACANCGGCCTCTCGAGAAGTCCGCAGCGAGACAAAAAGAAAATCAACATGTCTGTCATGGTCAATAGGGGAAGAGGATCGGTACAGTTCTCACCAGCTATTTCAGCGCTCCATAACAATCATACTTCATTAAAAAATCAACACTTATATGAATCGTGCTGAGTATTGAATTTGCTATGATTATGTCCATAAAAAACGCAATAAAAGTCCTTTTTAAGTGAGAAAATACCCAGTGAAAAAAAACTAAAATAGGGAAAGGATGTGGGTGTCCTATTACATTAAAATATACTCACACTCACACCTATACCCAGTCCCATCTTATACAACGTGTAGTAATTGTAGTATAGGATGAAATTGAACGATTTACTGTGAATAGTTTCTTATAAATGAATATGTCGAGAATGCCGGCACTATATACGTACCTTATTTTTAGTTCTAGCTCTTATCTCTTCTTATATATTGCCTACGCGAGCGAAAGAGCAAAAAACAAGACGAGACAAGAATACTGTCTATGTAGATGAACGAGAGTATTTGCTTTTTGGCTTTTTTTCACGCTGGTCTATCTATAATATGGTTACTTGATAACTTTTTTTTATTGTTCCTTCTCCCTCGCATAAGTTAAACAAATCGAAATGCAGGCACAGAATAGAAAAGGCAAAATAGACAGCGACGAAATGTCGGACGTATTTGTTTATAAGACACTATTGACATGATATCTGTTATATTTACTTCTGAAATATTTATATATTTCAATTGTTCAAAATTTTAATAAGTAGCTTGAGAAATAAAATAATATAGTAGTTGATTGCATATCTAGATCGAAGAATTTTGTTTTTATTTTCTAAAATAATCTTTCTTCAATCTATCATCGATCTGTTCTTTTATTGCTGATACATCATGGCGTATTCAAGAATGAAATACTGAAAGATGGTTTTGCAAAAGAGAAATTAGAAGATCGATATGAATATGAAGGAAAAATTAAAGATGATAAATTTCATGGTCTTAGAAGTCTTTCGATTAAAATAGATGGTCTTAAATAAATTGGTAATTATCATTTTAGAAAAAAGTCATCTTAAATTTATAACGGAATAGCAATATGGAAAAATGACAGTTGTTTATTTGAATGAGATCGAACAATACTATAAATGCCAATATGATGTATTTTGCAATAGTTTAGAATCTATAACTTTATCAAATGATGATAGTAGACAAAAGCGAAGAGAATATTTTCAATATTTAATCGATTAGGGTGTAGGTGAAAATGAGAAACACATCTACACCCACAACTTTCCAAAGATCCACCTTCATAATCTCATACAGGGTGTTCCAAAAGTCTGCCAAAAAAGTCAATTCGCATAACTCAACTATTTATCAAACTTAATCAACTGGGCTTCTTTTTTTCAATTGATAGGTATCACTGTGAAGTTTTTATTTATACGGACAAACCTCACAAATACGGTTCAAAGTAATCGCTGTCGGCTGAAATACAAAAATCAGTCTTTTTTAATTTAAAAAAAAACATTTCGTAATGTTTCTCTTTTAATGCTTCAATTTCTTGTATTTTTTTAATGCCATTTATTTTGATCAGATCTAGGACTATCGTTTATATGCATTGGTTTTGATATGTCACTTGCAAAGAGAAACATGTGATGTTATGTGTGTAATGATCAAGCAGCTTATGAGATCGATTCACATTCTCCAAGTCAACAGCCATCGTTCGAAAAGTTAAAGTAATCTTATAGGTTTCATAATTATCTGGCTTGACGCTATTAAGCTTTTTTTGCAGCGATATATCAAAGCCAATGCATATAAACGATAGCGCCAGATCTGGCCAAAATAAATGGCATAAAAAAAACAGACGAAATTGAAGCATTAAAAGAGAAACATTACGAAGTGTTTTTTTTTAAGTCAAAAAAGGCTGATTTTTGTATTTCAGTCAATAGTGATTACTTTGAACCGTATTTGTGAAGTTTGTCCGTATAAATAAAAGCTTTACAGTGATACCTATCAATTAAAAAAAACTAGTTGATCAAGTTTGATAAATAGTTGAGTTCTACGAATTGACTTTTTCGGCAGACTTTTGGAACACCTTTCACGTGCATAAACGAACATACATTTCATTTCATAGGTGATTACATTGCACTCGTCAGCAAAACTGGCTTCATCATCAATAGTAAACTCGTGGACAGAATGGGGTGCATTAGAACTTATATGTATAGGCACCGCCGAGGGTATGTGCTACCCAGATGATACCCCTTCTTATCCATGGCATACAGGTCCCCCTAGTCTACGTCGATATATTCGAACGATTTCAGGTCCACGACCTTGTCGTCGTATCGAAGCAGCGCAAGCTCAGTTGGACAATCTTGCTGATTTACTTCGAGCTGAATCCATCGTAGTTGCAAATTCAATTGATGAAATATTTGATGAGGATGTTGGACAAGTTCTCAGTCGAAAACAAACATCAATAGCTGACAGTTCACAAACAAATATTAATGATAATATTATTCAAAAGAATAAAATTGATGTGTGTCGACCACTAAACTCATCACAAGAACCACTTTGTTTTAATTATCAGCTAGCCACACCTAATTTCAAAACCCAATATCAGTTTGGTCTTGCATGTCCACGAGATATACTGATCACGTTCGGTGATACTGTGGTAGAAGCACCTACGTCTATTCATACTCGGTATTTCGAATCTGAGTACTATAAACCTCTCCTTTATTCTCTATGGAGACAAGATTCAAATATGAAATGGCTTCAACCTCCGAAACCTACATGTTCACTAATAAAAATGTTTCACGATGTCGACTATTGGGAAAAGGTAAATACAAAAGATTACAACAAATCAATTTTTGCCAACAGTGGCTATAAGACAAACTTGAATGAAAATGAAATTGCCTTTGATGCTGCCGATATTATACGTATGGGAAAAGATATTTTTTATAAAAAAGCTGCATCAGCGAATAATCAAGGTTTATACTGGCTTCGTCGCACGTTTCCTCATCTTCGTTTTCATATGATGCATTTTCCAACCGATGGTAGTTATCATTTGGATGTTTCACTTATACCATTACGACCACCAACATCAGGCTCACATGGTCTTATACTTCTCAATCAAAATTATCCACCATTGGCTAGCGAAATGAAATTATTTACTGATAATGATTGGCATCCAATATGGGCACCTTCATATTCCACCAATGATGTACCTCCGCTTGCTTTGTGCACCGGCAATCTTAATACAAATATACTTTCACTCAATGATCATAGTGTAGTGATTGAAGAATGTGAGACATCACTCTATCGGTTATTACACGATGAACTTGACTTCGATGTTATTACGTGTCCTTTTCGGGTGCTCAACGAATTCGGCGGTGGTGTTCATTGTGGTATGAATATAATATATCTTAAATCAGGATTCAATTTTTTTTTCGTACAATTCTTCTAACAACCAGTTGCAATTCTGCTTACACTGGTTTCAAGTAGCATCTAATAAGCTCTGCTGATTTTAGCTGTCATCTTTCAAAATTAACCACATTATCCTAGAGATATTGCTCACTTATTGTCAATGATTCACTATAAATTCGTTGAGTCCTAAACAAATCTATCGTGATTCGCTTCTAGATCGATAAGGATATAGTTTTTGATGGTTTCCGATAGAACTCAACAATCTCTATCGATTTTAGATTTTAATTTTTAATTCGATCTTAATATGGGAGAAATTCGCTATTTTGAAATCAAATCACTCATATTCCAAAACACGCGGTTTTTACCGAATCTAAAAAGACTTGTCCAGTAAATATAAAAGAAGAGTATTTTATGGTTTGATATCAATACAGTTTCATAATGAAATCTGTAAGGATAAGCGGTAGGAAGAGTCCCGTACGGACGTATATAACAACAGTTTTCCTATCGATCTCATTTGAGATTTGCACTATTCCTCTTATATCTAGCTTCTTCAAATTTTGGAACTTTGATTCTAAAATATTGCATACTTTTCCTACTTATGCCTTTGAAAAACTTTTTTTTCAATTCCAACTCCCATCCCAAAAATTTCAAAACCTTTTTACAGTGAATGAGCGACATTTAATAACTTGCTGATGAAAACAATTTCAACAACTTTGATGATGTAGGAAATCTTGTCCTGTTGACTAGTATTTTTAATTTTCTACGGTAGTTGTTCATTCGAATATTCCATGTAAAAGATGTTCCATCTATTTTTTTTTCGTTTTTTTGCAACCTAACGCTTTTCTATTAGTTCTATAGCCGATTTTTTTACCTTTCATTCGCTCGTTAACATATGGAGAATAAAGCTGCTGCCAATAGTAGGTAGTGAATTTTTTAACGAAGGTTGCAGTTAGAAGAACGGAAAACTTGCAGCCAAAAACTGTTCTTTGAGCTCCGACCAAGGTCGCATGTACTCGAGGTTCGTTCATTCATGCTGAAAAAAAAATTTCAAAAGGGAGATTGGGGCAACTATTCCTTGCATCCTAACATCAAATCAACCACTTATTATTGCTGTGTGAAAAAAGAAAAACTTTGTCGAGACACGCGCTGCAACTTCAACTCCGATTTTTTACGTCGTCGAAGTCGAAGACGAGTTTTGGAATACTCTGAAGAACTTTTGGTGAATGTTTGATAGCTTAAATTAGCTCAAATACTCAGGAGAGCTTCGTTTGACTTCATTTTTTGAAATACTCATTTGGAATGTTTTGGCCTATAGTAGACCCGTCCAAAAGGTATTTTCCCTTTTCGTCAGAGACATTTTTTAAAAAATGGCTAGGAGTGGGATTTAATAGATGCAGACTATCAAGCTCTATCGACTGACAATATTTTCCACCAAAAACGACGCTCAAAATGATTGACAGTTGAACAAAACCTGCTTTGATAATATCCTACGAGGAAAAACTCGAATATTGACTTTTAATATTCTACATGTAGTAAAAGCTGTATTCATTATTTTTTAATTTCTCTTATAACCTTCTTTGTTGTTTGCACAGTAACATGGGATATCCGTCGGCAAGACTCATGTACCGACTATTTTTCAAATCAGAATTATGAACTCGAATGCCAACTGGATCTTGACAATTATTTTGATCAAACATTATTTACGGACGATAATAAAAACAAACCTTAAGTCAAATAACTTACTATCTTTTATGGACAAAAACTTTCAGTGCCATTTCTTAGCTATCACTTGAATTGCTAATTTCAAAAAAAGTATAAACATTTATAGTTCCTAATAAAATAATTATCCTTATATGAACGTGACATTACTATGAAATGAATCTTGTACTCATTCGAATACGTATAGAGAAGTCAGGTATCAACGATTAAAAGGAGTAAATCAAGAACGATGGGTGTGGGGTGTGGGTGTGGGTGTGGGTGTGTGGGTGTGTGGGTGTGTGGGTGTGGGTGTGGGTTGGGTGTGGGTGTGGGTGTGGGTATGGGTGTGGGTGTGGATATGGGTGTCAGAGAATGGTAGTTGGACACTCGCAAGCACGACCCACACCCACCCACCCACACACCCACACCCACACCTCTTTTTTTCGAGATTTTCTTGCAAATATTACCTTTCTACCCCCACTCCCTAAACTCCTTACCCCTCCCTGTTAATCTTAGACACTTCGCATGGCCTCCGCCCATACCTACAACTTAAAAAAAGACTGCCGAACCCCAACATTTTTCAGGTGAAAATTTGAAAAAATTGAAGTACACTTTACAAATAATTCTGCTGTGTCCAAGAAAACGAGATATTTCTATAATAACTCTTCTAGAAGTGAAAAAAGAGACTATGAAACTATACTGTTGTGTAGTACTCGTGGGCTATCTATCACAAAATAAAACAATTCGAAGAGCACTTGTATAGAACGTGATATGTGTGGAAAAATGTTTCCTAGTTGTTTTGCAAACACCTGTATATTTACTGCTTCTGATAACATGCATCGTATACATGTTATCATTAGAAAAAAGGAAGTTATGTGTCGAAGATGTATTTGATAATAAAAATAAGTTTTTTTGGTATCATGATATTGAAGTGTCTTATAAATTTGTTGAATAGTATGTCTGTATACACAGATTTTCAAAAGGATAACGTTCCCAAGCGCGCATATTAGCTTTAGATATTGCTATAATTTAGTATATTCATTCATTTGCTATTATGTTAAAATACAATCCACACTTTGGACTTTTACGGAGTCGTATTGACAAGTTTCCTCGTGCAGATTTTATTACTGAGACGATCAAAAAATACATAGTATAAAATTGTTTTCTACAGGTTTTAGGATTTGTCGGATCATATGTAAAACCGACTTCTTTATACAAGTACAACTCGTCTCGATCTAAGCACTCAAAATGAATATATTGTTAGTTGGATAGACTCATTTCTGGCGTATCAACTTATGCTATATTTGCCAGAGGCATTTTGACTATTCTGCTCAGATAAATGACTTTCACAATTAGCCATTGTGTCAACGCCTGTATATATAGAGCTGTAGGACAAGCAGTACTAGTGATGTTATATGAGAAAACAAAGAAAAATATAAGTTTCGTGAAACTCGAACCCACAGTCTTCTTCTATTCTGACATATGCCCTAAGCGAATTAGACAAGAAGGAACATATTAATCTTTGTTTAGCCATAGAGTGTAATTCATCACTGATGCTAAAGCATTGTAGGTAAAATCCTACAATAGCATATTTACTCACACTTGCACTGTTTGGAAATGTAGAAGCCCAGCTCTTACAATAAGGTAAGCAAGTTGAAGAACAATCGCTGGTATAATTGCATGAATATGATGTCAACGATGAGTTCATGCATCTCGAAGCTAGTCTAAAATCTTGGATCAAAGCATCTGTATCATAGTTTCGTGCTGAACAATAGCCTCTATCAATGTTTAGAAAGCGAAAAAGAGCAAGACTCTTTTATAAGAGAATTGAGCCGTACCCATTTGAATTTTGGAATGCCATATAGTTTCTGTCATTATCTATTTTGATAGCTTCAAATGAGCTGTTGTAGTAAGAATTGTTTTCATGGATGTCATACATGCGATGATGTAAATCAAAAGAAGTCTTATATTCAGTTACGAATACGGAAATAATGAACAAGGATTCCATGCTGCAAGTTAATGAAAGATATGGGATTCGAGAGCAAGTCGACGCTTTTTTAGTTATCTACTATTTAATCCTTTCTATTCCGAGGTTACTTCTGTCTCATAAAAAGCAGTCACGTTTAAATTGACGGCCAAAACCGTAAGCACTTTCGTGTTTGAGAGCGAGTAGCAGCTACCTTTTTTCTCGATACTAAGTCGTTCCCGCACAATCTACGTATCTCTACTCTGAAGAAACTTGTCAATGCAGCCCAAAGAGCTACCAAAGTGTGGATCTCACAAACTCTAATTGTTATAAATTTACGATATATTGTCAAATGTTTTAAAACAATTTATTTGAACAGATGCCACATGAATGAATAAATCAAAATTATAACAATTTTTATAATTGATAGGCCCACTCTGAAATTTAATCATTTCGAACATGTTAGCATGTATAATTACTTTCCTATCAATTAGTTTAATGCACTTAATATCGTTACACTGTAACAACTTATTTGTATTATCAGATACATCTGTAACATATGGCTTCTATTTTCCTACTAATAATATATGTATTATGTATGCCATAGGAAACAGAAAATGTAATTTAATTCTTCATTTCGTCGATTTGACTATCGTATTAGCCTGTTATTCACATTGATTTGATGGCTGGGTAAACTATCACGCACCTTACGCTTTCTTTCGTCGAATTTCGACTTATATTATTGAGTTTTCCCTAAACTTCGACTTAAATCAGCTCATATTTTTCTATGTTCTTCGTAGTCTAACTCTACGAGATGAAGAATAAGACCGCTCTATTGATTGACACCTACGATAAGACCCTTTCGCTGCATGGAAAACCAAAACCCGCAATATTTAGACTAAACAGTTAGAATCTAGAGTTGCAGAATGATCTGAGCGCTGATAGGGTGTAAGTGTGGGTCTTCTCTTCATCTATACAATATCCATCCACTCACTCCCAAATCTATTATCCTTCGAGAGCAGTTGACATGGAGAAACAGTGCTATATCATTCTAAAACTAAACGCCTTTTGTTTTTGCCTTAAGGTTACTGCTGTAGTTTTTATTGTATTTCATCATCATCTCAACATTTAGAGGGCAAAGTAATAATTAGGATATGGATGCAACTGTGTCGGTTTGGCGGGTGGCTGTGTGTATTATCTGTTCGTATTCTCCTTCCTCACACTTATACCATACCCTAAAATATGAACATTTAACTCAAATTTTTCTCTAGAACTGTTTACAGAATAGTCAAAGTCATCTCGTTTACAATGCAGCATCTAACTTGACTGTTTCTTCGGTGATAAAATCTTCCACAGCCCATTTGATCAAACCTATG